TTCAGGTCAGGATAAAATCTTTGCGATTGGTTTGTTGCACTGCAGATGTAATCGACACAGCTGCAGGGGCTTTTTATTTGGAAACCAAATGATTTCAAAGTAAAGTTTGCTTTTTGCTATGAGCTAAGTTACTGAAAGTTTTGTATTGGAACAAAGAATCGAAATTGTGAACACATGACATTGAAGTGGATTTGGATTTAATAACATGCACGTGCATGACAGGAAAGTACATTTATCACAGAAATCTCATGTAAAGACCAAAATCAACAATCAATTGACCCTATAAACCTCCAACACATAATATAACCTGACAGCTTATTCCTCTGCACACCTCTGTTTGTGTCGATAACTATTTAAGTACAACGGCCCAACTGTTACACTGAATGCATCCATGAACATGACCTCCGTGTTGAATGTTACGTTAACTGCTGTAAAGACTTACGACTCTGTTTTGATCCACCGCTGAAAAAAGTAAGTCCCCTACAAATACACCACTTACTGCCGTTTGGGTAACGTTTGCTAAAAACCACAGTTCCCAGGTAGCGTGCAGCCGGATGAGAATAACTTCACAATGATTCCAACACGAAGGGCAAACTCCCAGAGGAATTATCTAAATCCTGCTGTTGCTCACAGCTAAAGCATCCGTATCGCATCCACCAAATCGGCTCTGGCTCAGAGAGAGTGTATGAGATATTAGCTTCTCAGTTTAGGGTGCAAGGCATTTCTCCAGCCCAGGGGCTCCAGCTGTCTCAGCTTTGGGAGCTGGTGGGCCAAACTGCAGCCTTCCTGCCGCTCCTGCTCTTCTTGCCGCTCCAACTGTTCCTGCCATTCCTGCCGCTCCAGCTGCTTCTGGTGCTCCTGCTCTTCCTGCGGCTTCAGCCATGCCGGCCCCTGATGTCTCACCAGTCACAATGAAATGGTGGGTGAGATGAGTTCAAGCAATTAATTAACGTGTCTGCAGTCCATGGCTCTGTGTTTCATTTCAGCTTTCTACCCCAGCCTGCAGATGTGCTCCTGAGGTCAGAAAAGCCTCAACAGCTTCAACATCCCTCCATTTTGTTCCATGACCAACAGCCATGAACAAAAGTTGTAGTTATTTAACAATATATGTAATAATTGTTAATGAAAATGTCTGTACTTACCCAAACTTAATTTCAACATTTGTGCTGCTTGCAAGGGAGTTCATCCAGGATCTGAATGCCCTTCCAGGGAAGTTTCTGCAAATAGTAATAGTCACTCGTTGCTGAAATGAGCCAAAAATACTCCAGCTGGACACAAGAGCCTTGGGCCTGCAAACCTCTGGATCATCTGGCATCAGGGTAACTGTCCTTGGTGTCTAGGTCCAATGCAGGGGTAGTGGACTCAGACGAACTCTGCCTGAGCAGAGCCAGTGTGAAGGAGCAGGAACAATCTATATTTCTGTTGTGGAGTTTTGACAAGGATTGATTGAGACCACAGATGAGAGCTCAGTAAATACATTACAGTAAGTACTGAAAGAATGTCTATGAAGCAGAGCATATCATCTGTTAGCTGTGAGTGAGCATGTTTGATGAATCTAATTTCAAGTGTTAATTAGAATGGCAAGAAAAGTGTAATAAGACAATTGATAGCAGAATAGCATTAAAGAAAAACAGAAAAGATTATTAGAAAGACCAAATGAAATGCTAAAAGGAGTCTTACAGATCAAGTTAGAATTGCAATCAGTAGAGCTCCGCCAAGACACTCAATCAATTCATCAAGCTGCGGCAAGTTTCACACACTCAGATATCAGTTCCCTGAATTCACATCAAGATCCACAAATTATTTCCTGAGAAAACAAAGAAAATGTTGAAAAACGTCTCATCATGTTAAAGAAAGTGCCCCTGACCCATATCCCATCCTTCCACAAGGTTTCTTGGAAATCTGTTCTTTTGTTTTTGTTTAATCTTGCTTACAATCAAACATTCAAACATTCAAACCAACCAACCAAACGGACAGAGGTGAAAACATAACGCCTTTAGTGGAGGGAATAAAAACAAGGCAGATTTTGGATAAACACTTGGAGGAGCCAAATCTTGCATCGTGACGCACTGTGCTGAGGGTGTCGCTGAAGGCTTTGACTGTTTTGTTGTGACATTACAAAGTTACAGACATCCTGGTGGCCTGTTTTAAAAGGCACAGTTTCTGGATACAGGCTGTGTATTTCTCCATGGACTGAGCATTTTAATACCTCTACAATATTTAAATATCACTGTGGACCTTCTTTATACTCAGATAAGTCATGGAAATCTTAATCTACAATATCTATAAGGGACCTTTAATGTTAAAATGTGTGCCCCCACTTTTTACCCATTTTGCAAATCCACCCATGAAATTGCTACTAAAAAGAAGCTTCCATAATATGATAACTGTTCAATGTGAAGGTCTATTTTTCAATTTTTGCTAAACTGTGTGTTTATTAGCCTCCTATGGGTTTCTAAAAATTGGGGGAATAGACTTTCCCATTAAATCTGTTCAGTCGTGCCAGGGATATCTCATTTTCTGATCCGGCACATCAGTTTACCGACTGTAGTTTATTCTTTAAATCTAAATAGAGCAAAGGAAGCCTGTCCCATTACTATCGCCCACATCCATTCCCTTTTTGTACTTTTAAGATCATAATGAGAAATATTTGTCCTGGATCCTCCTCCAGTTTGTCATCGCCTCGTTTCTAACCACAGGAAATAATCCAACATGAAAGCTCGCTGCTCAAAGACCTCTTACACCTTGATTTTATTAAAGCCACGCATATAGCTGGTAGTGGTTTCATCAGCATTTCCTATGGTTGCTGTTTTCTGTCCTCATATTCACTTCTTCTTATCATTTTCCTCGACATTCTAGCTGACCTTTCCCCCTGTACACCCATGTTCATTCCCCTAGCATAATTGCTGCTTCTTCTTCTTCTTCTTCTTCTTCTTCCAGTCGAAACTTTTGTCCATTGGTCTGGACTGTGGTCCAAAGCAGCTTTAACGTCTGTTATTTTGCTTCAGACTAAACAAGGCTAGAGGGAAAACCGCCTTAAATGGATAGTTCACCCAAAAATGTGATCCATGCGTGAACGTGTCTCCGGAGGAGGATATCAGAGGACTTTAGGCTAAAAACATGATATAAATGATGCCGTTTCAAGTTGAATTTGAATTCTGGGGCTAACAGACACTTAGATGACACCACAGGAGCAGTATGGAGGCATTTTCTGTTCTTTCTCTGTTGTTTTTATACATTTAAAGAATCGTTCACCATTTACTTCAATTGTATTGGATTTAGCTACAACGCTGTTTACCCCTGAAACTCAAGAAGGGTTTTGTTGACTCAAATCCTTATTAGCTTATTAAGAATAAGAAACATAGCATAACACCAGACTCCAGAATTTTCAACAGAGAGATAATTGTTTTTTGTTTTGAGTTCTAGGTTAATGTGATCACGACAGACCCACAATTCTCATCGTGTCCAAAAATAAACCTGATGTGCTCCAGGAGCTTGTGGCATCACTGTTGGGTGTGGTTACATTTCAGACAGAGACGCAACATTCAGCCACAGGGGGCAGCAAAACTCTGCTCTTCACCCTTAGTGACTCTTTAAGTTGGACTGTATGAGGATTTTTCCTTCTGAGTGTTGTTGAAAATTGTCTGTCACAGGAACACAATCAATAATATAACTGATTTCAGGGTTATGTGTTTGAGATCGACGACCCGCTGTTCCAACAAGTCGACATATGTCAGATTAACACCCAGTGAAGCAGATGGCTTGTGTAAAGTTCAGCTCCAATGTGTCAAAACAAAGCATCAACATTGGGAAATCTTTATAAACAATTAATGACTGCACATTCTCTGGAAACTGGTGTTTGCCTCAGAACTACTCATCAATTTATGCTATTTGGTTTCCTCATATTCTTCTGTCCCAAATCTCCTCCGCGCGGAGTTGACTCTGCCACAGCCTCAGACATTATCGCTGTGTTGAGGTGTGCCTGCATCTCAAGCAGTTTCTTGCTGTTCTTCTCACTCTGGGTTTTCTTCACTCCTTACTGAACTGGGAATGCACCCTGTCTTCCTGCGCGAGCATCAAAACAAAATGTGAAGTCTTTATGCCGTAGCGATGGCAGTGTGAGCTGTAGGCCTTGGGCAGGTTCAGCACACCAGTGATATTTTTTTTTTAAATATCCAGACAATGCAAAAAGTAGAGCTAGACTATGTAGGGAAGGTGGCGGGTTTAGGGAGGATCAAGCTATTTCCCAATGATAGAGATCAGTGCTGGTTAGCTGCAAATAACAGCACTCACCTCCCCTTCTTTACAATGATACCATTACATCTCCATCACAGACTGAAGAACTCCCCCACTGTAGGTGAAGATTACCCTCAGCTGAATGGACACCATTATGCCTCAACACAATCCACTTTCAATTTCCCTTTATTCTCAGCATGCAACAACATGTTTCTTCCTAATCTTCCTCTACTCACTTTCCTGTCAGAACGCCAAGGTAAACCAAGGACTGAGGGTTTATTTCTGTCCCTCCTCAGGTGCTTGTTTCTGGGAAAAAATAACATAAAAAAAAAATACAAATTTTTTTAAGGAGTCATTTTTATTCACTTAAATACATTATGCATGTTCTTAGCTCCCTAAATGTAGGACAGAGTGGCAACTGACAACAAAAAAAAAAAAAAGGAAATGAATCCAAGGAAATTGTTCCCTCAGGAGAAAAAGAAATCCATTCTAAATGTAAATAATTGTTAATCGTGTGGTCACAGCGACATGAGTGGTGCCAGTTTCCCCTGATTTGCATTTGTCAGAAGCATATGATCAGGTGGAGTGCCTCCATGCCATCTAATCCAGAGGCAGTCTGGCTTTAAGACATGTGATACAGTCCTTACACTCAGCTCGGCTGTACGGGAACATTTGTTTCTTGGTGCTCGCTGAGGGGGGACTCAGTGAGAGCCGCTGCTCAGAGGCTGCCTCTCACAGGAAGGATGCAGACGGTGAAAGAAGAGATTCCACTACAGTTAATTAAGGAGCACTCCGCACGTGCCTACAGATGCGAGGGGGTAAATGAATTTGGTGTGAATGGGAGGGGTGATATTTCAAAGGTGGAACTGAAAGAGCTGTAAATCTATTTCCTGACTCCGGCTTGACGGTCATTTCTGAATCACTGGACTGTTGCTATCAAAGTGCCGGAGCAGGGGGAGACGGAGTCAGTGGAGTTCCCTCCTCGAGCCAGATTCAGAGTTATTGGATGGGATCAGCATGAGCAGCATTATGGATGGATTTGTGTCTTTCTACTGAGATATTTATTTACTCTTTTTTGGCTTGCTCAGGTAAGATTTATCCTCATTCTTTCTACTCTCGGGCAAAAAATATTTTATTGTTATGATATTAAGCTTTTTGCATGAAACTGGGAAAATATACATTTACTCTGAAAAAAATATCTTGGGTTTTAAATGCAAAATGTGAAAACTGCATGACTAAAGAATTTATGTTTGGATAAGCAAAGTACATTTTTATGATCTCATTTCATGGTGTGATTTGATATTGATTAAATGAAAAATTGCATTTCAATTAAATTGTAAATTGGAGTCTATTGCCACAAACACAATAAACATGTGAAAGGATTTTAAAGTAATGTGCATGAGTAGAATATATATTTCATATATATCAATGCAGAAACCTTAATGGCGTCAATCTATGTGCAGTACAGTTTATTTTACTTCTTAAGGTTGGATTCAAGTTTTTATGCAACAGAAAATTATCCAAATCTTATCTTGAAGAAATCAAATCGAAATATATCTACGAATGAATGTTATCAATAGGCTCTGATATGAATTAATAAGGAGATTGATATTGTAATACATGTTTGCTGCAGATAAGACAGTTGTGAAATCATTTCAGGGTTGAAACAATTTGTATTTTCTCCTTCACAGCCACCTCCTCTCCTCTATGACCAGGAGTATTCCTCGTTGTTGTTCTACTTTCTTCTTCCTCTTCTGTTATTCTTTCTTTCTTTATCTAAACAGCATGGTGAAACATTACAGGGCTTTTTGATTCCTCTTACTGCTGTGTCACTGTCACATTATTCTGACAGATACAGAAAAGCCTCGGCAGCCAGCTGCTCGCAAAATCGTATCTTTCTTTAAGTTTGATTTTTGGTTTTGAGGCAGGAGCACAGCTCAGGAGTTGAAGGGAGTCAGCCTGTCAGGGGAAATCTCTGCTGCATGGGAAAAACTCCCCAGGGATCACTCCACATTTGCAGCGATGTGGCTCAGGGACAAGACAGGGCAAACTCGCAAGACGAAACAGGGAGGAAGTCATACTTATATAATCATGTTAATGATAAATTCCGATGACTAACAGATTCCACTGAAGGCATTAAGACCGATTATAGACTGGAGCCTGTCTACGAAATGTTTGTATTTGTGTTTACGCATTGTGCCCCTGAGTCTCTGGGTGTGGGTGGGTTGGGGGGGTACAGCCTGTGGTTCATAGGTTGAGAAGATGATGTGATGTCTCTGCGTTGACTTCACCTTTGCCTGTCTTCAGCAGATGTGTCCTGTCATGTCCTGGCTGCTCTGCCTGGGCCTCTGGGTCAGTGTGACTGCCATCCAGCTGTGTCAGGCCACGTTCTACGACACCATCCAACAGCATCATGGGACGCGGCCTGGACGAACCACCATCCACATGATCGGTGAGTCGTTTCGGTGGCGTCCCTGCTGCTCTGGGTTCTTCACAAAAGCTCTTCCTCTCATTTCCTGCTCCTTGAGTATTGACTGTAGCAAGCTGGCTTTGGTTGCTTCTGTGTTTAGCTTGACAAATGGGGAGCAAATAGCTTCACTGCTTTGCTCTCATTTCCATCTTGATTTTATTAAGTCGTTACACTCAATAATATATTCACAGTTCAGCTTAGACTAACAAGCAATTATTTAGCAAGCACATTGTACAGTGGCTGTTTTTCCATTTAGGTTCGGCCTTGATAGCGAGTGAATATTCTGCACTGAAGATGACACACAAAGACAATAAATGTTTTTGCACTTTCCATCTTGAGCTATTACCGTTGACATTCATGCAACGCTGCCCCCCCCTCAATCTGATCCATGCGATTGGGCTCCCTGTGAAATTGCACTGAATAGAATATGACCGAAACATTGCGGTTTAACTTTTTGTTTTCATCAGGTGGATGTGAGCCACGGTTATGGTAAATAATTATGATCTCAGGATTCAGCAGAGGAGAGGAAGCCGAATGCTGTCAGAACTTCAAAGGGAGAAGTATCTGCGTGAGCGTGCAGGTCCTTGGTGTCTGTTATTTCCTCCATGCGCCACTGCACCTCAAGCCTATCAGCAAGAGGTCTTTTCAATTCTCTCAATATTGTGAGTCAGAAGACTTCCTGTTCCAACACCTTCATTTCATTACTCACGTCTGCAGATGTGTATTGGATGAGGAAAGAAACACACAGAGGGAAGAAAGGGATGAGGACGTTTGCAAATAGGATATCTTCCAGAGAGTCTTCTCATGTCAACAAAAGGGGAAATGGAATTAATATTTCAAATGTGCACGTCTATGGAGAAAACAAGTTCAAAGTGAGAGATTCAAATCCTTCAGGACCGCCTGTTACTGAAAGTGTAAATGCCCTGTCATTCCATTTGCCATCGTATGGCGAGTCCTCAGTCCTGGATAAATGAGATGCCAGTTTTATGAGAGGAGGATGGGAAGCCTGTCTGGATTGATTCTGACACTGGGACATTTGTTCTGTGCGGTGTGTTGTGTGCCTGTTGGATTGGTGGGAGGATTGGGGTTGACGGGTCATGAATTGGTGGCAAGGAGGCCGTTGGTTGCAGACCACTCGGCCAATCATTAAAGGCAGCAAAATACCACAAGTTCACAGTGACTGGTATTACCAGAGGAAATCGAGATTACAGAGGGCGAGAGATCAGTTGTGTCCTTGCCAATAGAAATTTAGATCCAAGGGGGAAGATGTTGTTTGGAAGAAGCACAAGTCAATCACGTGCACTGGCTTTGGGATAAGAGATAGATTGTGATCTGCCTTTCACCACATGCAATTTCTAGATAAATTACATTTCCATGTTACAAAAGTACCTCTGTCATAAAAAGGAACACAAGAAAGAACGATGCCAGGTTTAGCAGCAGCATTGTGTCGCAGGAATAATTTCTTTTGACAACTTATAAGTGACTGCTTCACTTGTGCACTGAAACATTGGCAGTCTTATTGCAAAGACTGTGTCCAAAAGTCCATTAGCTGGATTTCTTTTGATGAGACGTGTATGCTCAGTGGTTTGGACAAAGCGGCCTGCTTTTCACCCTACAGCTCTACTTACAGATTGCTGCCTGCCACTCTATCAGATATGCTCGGAGCTTTTTTCTGCTCTCCCGATGCAGACAGCTTTGCTCTCTGTGCTATGATTCATAAGGTGCTGTATTTATTTGGTGCAAAGAGCGTGAACGATGCACAAAGGAGAGCAGATTGTGTCTGTAGTGCATCTGTAAAGTGCCGGGCAGAGATGTAGCTTCTGGGTTTGTGCATTTGCGCCCCGCCCCTGAACGCATCTGTATGAAACTACACAGAATGATGTTTTTCTTCGTCCAAAACACGCTAAAGAAAAAGATACTCATACCTGCAAACAACACTTTTTCAAGAGTAACAATTCTGCTCTTGTATTATATTTGGTACAGAGTGAAATTTAGGCTTCAGAGCAGAAAAAAGTTTTTGCTTTTAATGTGCAGCACAGCAACATTTTCTTTTTCCAGCTGAAGAAACAGTGCCATTGGTGATGCAGTGCATGATGTGGGGGTGTTAGCGCAGTGTATGATAAAGAGTATATAGTGGCAGCCCGAGGTGGCCTTGCTCCCTCATGAACTCACTCCCACCAACAGTCGGCTCTGCAGGGTCAAACTGTTCATAACTGAAAGGTCGTCGCATCTCAGCGCTGCAGATTGCGTCTTGTACCTCATCGTTGCTGGAGCAATGTGCAGATCTGGATGAGATACACAGAGAGGCCAAAACTGGCGGTGCAGGCACAAGTAACGCTCTTGTAAGTATCCACTGTATATTATAATTTATTCAGACTTAAGTCATAAATACTTTACTCTGATATCCATTTCACAGTCTTCCTCTCTCCCCTCACACTGTAACTACTATGATAGTCCTCTGTAGCAGCTGTAGTCGACCCCCCCGCCTCCCTCCTCAACCTCTTCTTCAACAAGGATGTAATTCCGATGCCGAGCCGCTTTAATGCAGTTTTTCTCGAAATCACATGAAGTAGTAGGCCCATAGTTTCAGCTCTTTCCAATTTGAACCCCCAATCATTTCCCTTCGGTAGCTTTGGTGAGGGGTAGGGGATCAGGACTCCTCCCTCCTCATGCGTGCCAACAAAAGAAACCACTCTCTGGTGAAGCAAACATGAAAAATGGATTTTGGGCTGTCACAAACAAAGGTTGTATCCTCTATGCACTGTTTTAGACAGTGACAATTTAATAGCCTTATATAATGCATCCAGGAGGCACATTATTTTGACATACATCTTCCTCCACCCGTCCCCTAGACTCTCAAACCGTGCTCTCACTAGTGTCATCGCCGCTCCTCCACAGTGCCAATGGGAAGTGGCGTGCAGCCTCGGCTTGAGGCATCTCCACATCTGGTGCTCGGCGAACCCACGTCGTCCTTATGTTGTTGCACATGTCGGTGTCGCTCGAAAGGACCACCGCCCAGTACATTTACTTTGCTCTCATGTCCCATGTTGTTGCAGATGCATCGTATATTACACCAGGAAAACACTTATTCGTGTCATCTCCTTTATTGGCCCTGAAAGGAAAATATATTCTTAAGTAAAATGAATCTCACGACAATCAGTGCCTTAATTATTACTGTATGCTCTCAGCTACAAATAGGTTTTACATATCTTAGTATTTCCCATTTATTTCCTCTTTCAGGTTATGAATTATTCATAAGTGAGGGCTCCTCTAAGCTTGTGGATATTTGTTTAAACAGCATGTTTAATTGAAGTCTTTCAGCCAATTCTGTACAGGGGCTATGGTTTGTGATCACAACGCTTATATGCAAAATGAATTTCTGTGGCCCACAGCTTAATTAATTAGCCAGCTTTCTCCCTCTCATGACTACACCAGCTGTTTCTTGTCTTAGCCCCAATCCCCAAGCATTAATAACAGGTTTTTAAAGGCCTGCAAAGTTCATGGTTGATTCATATCTCAGTGATCGTAACGGAAAAATTCTAAGCTGAATCTCTTGTCATTTATTTTCACCCTGTGCACTGGATTTTCAGAGATTTGCCACTTGTCTGACACAGAACTGTAAAATAGAATAACACTGTTTGTATGCCAAAAATATAGTTTTGATTAAAAATACCTCCCCCATCATTTGTAGGTAGCACAATGTTTTTCAGATCATATTGATGTGTTTCAATGGCGGTTATTATTTCCAGTGTTCATGTACATATTCTACAAAACACAAATTAGTCACTGCAGTGCTCATAAATCAGTCTGCCGTGCTCATCGCTGGCAGCAGTCTGCCACTCTGCTGGCGAGCTCGTGACCTCTGAGCGTTGTTTTGTCAAAACCGTGCTCCAATTCTGCGTCTGGAATATCTGGCTGATCATTTCACACACAAAAGAAAGAATATATTCCTCATCATCCGTTGCTTCAGGCGTTTCTTCTTGTTTATATTTACTGTCATCAAGCCCCCCCCTCCATTTTCAAAGAAGTGCCGGATTCTTGTCTCCGCTGCGCTGTCGTGTTTCTTTGACAGTAGGCTCATGTAAAGAAAAGTACATCCCTGCTTCGGTGTTAATTCATAGCATCAGAACAAACAAGGAAACAAAACAAAAGCAACTGTCTTATAGCAAATTTGAGCTGCTGCGGAACGGAAACAGGCATTACCTCAGCCAGGGAGGTCATGTTGTCGCCCGTCAGTTTATTTATTTGTTGCTTAGTTGGTTTGTTTGTTTGTCAGCAGGATTACACAAAAACTAACGAATGGATTTACACGAAACTTGAAAGATGACAGAAGACAGATGACATTGAATTTTGGCACAAATAAGAGGATCCCGGATTTACTTTCTTTAACTTTGCGAATTAGGATGGTTTTTTTACATTCTCGCTATTGTCCCAGGGAATATTGATGAAACATCCAGATCCAAATTAAAAACTTGGATCCAGTGGATTTAAATCGGGCTAAAAACCTGTAACTACCACCATGTAGCTGAGATAATGAGAATCAACAGATTATATCTGCAATGGTTTAAACTCTATGAACAAACAAATGTAGTGCAGAATTGAAAGTTGGGTCTTGGCTGAGGTTTGTGCTCCAGTGCCAGTGTAGTTTTCTAAGTGCACTACACCAAACTGTAGCAGCTCGACACCGTTACTGCCTGAAAAGTACATTTACCTTAGAGCATCGCTGCAATGAAATGCAGCCGGCGAAATCTGAGAACAAGCAGAGGACGTTTAGCCCCAGAGCGACGTTATTAGTCGATCATTTCAGAACACTTTGTTGGCTGTACACAGCTGCACGTCCTCCTGGGGTCATTAGTGAGATTCCCAGACCTTTGTGTCAGTCATTAGTTAGCAGCAGCTCTCTTAATTTGCTGTTGTGACAGCTGTCATAGCTGAGGGATAGTTGACTCTGAAACCCTGATAAAAGGCTTCACTTTGCTTTA